TCCTGCTGATCCGCTTTTTTCACAAGCCCGCATGAAGACTTTATTAATATTAAAACTAACTAGCTTTGTGCACTTTCTTATATCTATACAGCTTCAGCACCGCTTTCTTCAGACGTTTAGTCTTTTCTAGTAAAAAGTCTATTAAGATTTAGAGGAAGTGTTTAGATCACTGATATGCATTTAACTATGCAAAGCAATAATGAGCTTAAGTTGGTATTATTTTAATAGTAATATTACCTGTAATAAGTCCAAACTAACATGAGCTGACGAGCTGCACTAGCACGCCTGGGACCACAGCCGCGACCAATGAGACTGCGCTGCACTAGACTATCCAACCAGGCTGCCCAAGCCGGTAGATCACGGCCGTGTAAAAGCAATTTCTTCAATTCACCATGCAAGCAGGCTATTGTACTCATGGAACCTACTCGACCATTCGACGTTGATTCATGTGACAGGGCACTCAGGTTTTGAATAGAGTCAAGACTAGAGTCTAGATGAAAAAGGAGAAGAGATATTTGTGAGAATAGACATATTAAATGACGAGGATACGCGTTTAATACTGATTCGAGTCAGTTTATGTCTCATTGCTTGGAATCTCCTGGATGGCCTTCTCGTCGGTTTTAAGTCTGTTATCTTGTATAGGTTTTGCCATCGCCCCAGGTCCACCAGTAAATAACTGATGACTCTCCAATGACAGCGACTTAGTTGCGATGGTAGAAGTATTCGCAGTACCTTTCGCTATCTATAGGGAATCTCTCATTAAAGTTCCCTTATACTGTGATAGTAAACTTATGCATGCTTAACAATAAATTTTGACAGCAAAGGTACCCAAAATCTATTTTATGGCATTACTCATTCAATCTAAACTGCTAGGCCAAGAGAATTCATTTAACTAATGAATCCGAGTCCTTAATTTTAGTATGTTATGCTAGCTGTTGAAAGTGTAACTAAACTAGAAGCCACGCAGAGGATTTATAAGAGTTTGTAACTTCGTTAGTTTGATTTGATTTTGGGGTTTATACTTATTTTGTGAAAATTATGGAAAGTGACCATGATTAAGAATCTTCGAGGGGGCGAATTAGATGTCGTTAGAATTCACTACTTTTAGTGAGCAAATATAGCTTTTAAATAAAATCATAATTGAAGTTCTCTCATTCGTATATATGTTTAAGGTGGATATACAATAAATCAGAAAGCAATTAAATCGAAGATATAAAGACCAAGAGGGTGTGGTCCTCAGGATGGTCGCAGTCTACTTCCGATTTATAGAAGTTGGCTGACCTCGTTTTAGCAACTTGGTCTTGTTGTCAGGACAACATAATTGAACCCACCTTGTCCGAAGTTATCCGCCATAGTAGTTAGCATAGATCCCAGTATCAGACCAATCTCTGACATCGTAGTCAGCATCATCATTGAGTTTTAGCATTTTCAGCACCAAGTCACAACTCGTCAGAGACAAGTGAAGTCAGTCCATCGACCAACGTGCTGACGAGACGGTTGCACTTTCACTCACCTTTTGTCCACGCCCACCTATCTACTTATTACCATCTTATCCCAACCCCACCAAGTTAGTGATAACTTTGCCTAATACTTAAGCAAACTCGGGTAAAACAAGAATACAGCATGATCAGCAAAAGGGAGACGCCTGGATCCTTGACCTATTGTTAACCATAGGAAAAGGGATCACGAGAAGAAAGGGGAGGAGGTAATTTCGGAAATAAAGCCAAGACGGTCTCAGTGAATGAAGTCTGTAGGAAGAATCCAGTTAAATTTTGCGGACCTGGCGGTGACGGAGCTAAGGAGACGGATAAGCCTAACCGTCATAAAAATTCGGCATAATGGCTAAACTGTACTAGAAATCCACTTGATATGCTGCACGTCAATAGGGGTGGGCGTCCGAGGTTTGCTCAGGTAGCACGGGTTTAATCAAGAAGACGACTCGTGAAGGCAATGGCTAATATCTGCAAGCACAGGAATCAGAGCTTAGGCGCTCCGCTCAGTGTACGTGATTCTAGGGGCGTCAGAAGTCAAATGTACACTGGGACTGAAACCGAGTGAAATCGGTCAATCCGAAAAATAAGAAATGGATCTACGGGACCCTGAAGGAGATCCGTATGGTTGGCCGGAGTCGGATTAGCCGATAGAACGAGAGGGGGCAAAGGTGAACAGCGATGGTAATGAGGCTACCTATATCTTGCCAAAAAGGGCACACCTTTTGACGAGTCGAGTGTAAACAAATCAGAAGATGTGATAAGGCGGGGGTGGGATAAGAGGATAAAGAGTAGAGGGGTGGGCGAGGACAGAAAGTAAGTGATAGTGCAACCGTCTCGCCAGCACGTAGATCTATAGATTGACTTCACTTGTCTTTTTGACGAGTTGTGACTTGGTGCTGAAAATGGCAAAACACAATGATGATGCCGATTACTATGCCGGCGAACAATTTGATACTAAGATTTATGCTAACTACTATGGAAGATGACTTCGGACGAGCTGGGTTCAACTATGTGGCTTTGACAACAAGACCAAGTTGCGTAAACGAGGCTAACCCACTTCTATCAATCAGGTAGAAGGTTGATGAACTAAGAGTATTTACGAAAAGATCGGCTTGAGAAATTTAATAATTTAACTAAGCTAAGAGTTAATCATGTAAGCCCCCTTTTGCTATGTTACAAAAGTAAAGGTATATATTTTTTCGTAGATTTGAAGACTAAGATGTTGCAGCCTTCTGTTTAGTCGCAGTCTACTTTAGCTTTATAGTGTTGATTCGACCTCGTTTCGCAGCTTAGTCAGAGCGTAAGGGAGATCTTGTGGAACGTACATAGTCCTGCCTCCTCTGCCATAGTATTCAGGATTTCCAGTATCGTTACATTGGTACATTCCCAAACGTTTCGCCGGCATCCTAGTCGGCATCGTCGGTGAGAAGCATTAGCGTTAACACAGTGTTACAACTTATCAAGTGAAGGCAGCGATTAAACAGAAAATTACTCAAGGGGATTACTTTCACTTATCACTTCGATAAGTTGTAATACTATGTTAACACTGGCGCTTCTCACTGACGATGCCGACTACAATGCCGGCGAAACGTCTGGAAATGTACCAGTGTAACGATACTGAAACTCCTGAATGCTATGGCAGAGGAAGCAGGACTAGGTACGTTCCAGAAGATCTCTCTTACGCTCCGACTGAGTTACGAAAACGAGGTCAAACTAACACTATATATTTTTTTGTTTATGGATAGAAATTATACAAGGAATTTTTAATTGAAATAATAAAGCTCGTCATTTTATTAATCTCTTACCATTTTTGGCTAGGTTTTTGTGATCAAGTCCATCCCTGAGTTCTGCTCCATGGAGAAACATATCTTCCTGATGAGTTAATGAGGAGTCAGTTCCGAATGAGAGCAAAGGAAGCTGCTGTGAGTCAAAAGGCAATGTAGATGTCCTTTCTGGTGAGAAATTTATCTTTGAACAGCAGTCGCTAGCCCATGAGGCCTGAGCCTGATATATTGGCATAGATAAACATAATTATTAGTAAGACACAAGCAGCAATTTGATCCTATTTGTATTTATCTATTGGCAATAACTCAATACATATCTCTTGAGCATTCATATAGAAATATACTCACTTTTAAATATATGAACGTATAGACATATATGTATGTATGCATGTATTAAGCATAAGTGTTTACTGCTGTATATACTTCAAAATTGCTCATAGGATATTTTTCGTTTAACATTATTTAATGAAATTTTGGCCTAAACAACATTGATATATTTCTTGGTAATACAGGCTTCAATTTTATAAATTTATCACACATGGGAACTTATTCTATCAAATATATTCCAAAAAAGTAATAAGTTATAATGATATTTGCTGGCAAGTTAATCATTTCAATGTTATTAAATATGATCTGAAATTGTTGTATACTTATGTTATCTTAGTTTACAACGTGTAAATGGGTATTATATTGTGAAATAATTTGTTTTAACTTACAAAACTACCCGGAAAATTAAAAAGTTAATTAACCTATGCTAACCAAAATTGGCCTTAGAAGATACTCCTGTTTTAAATAACGTGAGAATATTTCCCTTACAATATCTGGCAAATTATTCGGATAAAAATGTGTATTTATTAAAGATGAACAGACTAGATAAAAAGTCTAGAATCCTAGGTGTAGGAGTTTTTTTTCGAAACTAGCACAAACGATTAAAAACTGGATTTATTGAAAATAATGTTTATAAATATATCAAACCCAATTCGACCGCAATAAAATATAACATATATAATATAATGCAATTGACAAGCTTTACAATAAATAAAACGGCCCTGAGATAGTAAAAATGAAAGTAAACTAACTGAGATTCTCCACAGAATGCCATGCAGCAGAGTCAAATAGGAAGAGAGAAATATATTAAGGTATGGAAAGTGAGGGCGTAGTGATCAACGATTATTGATGATGGGTAGAATAGAAGTATTATTAGTGCATAATTTGATTTTTATCGGAAATAACTCGCAGGCCCTAGACACTCCTAGACATATAAAGCTCTTACAGAAGGCCTTAGCTGCAGGGACGAAGGATCATTAAAAGGGGGTAATCGAAGAATTGAAATTGAGCGAACTTCTTTAACTTGATACTCAGTCACACAAAGCTTGCTGCCTTAGGGCATACATAATGTATTTCTCTTAGGATACTTGTTATGGATAGATGCTGTACAGGCTATTAAATTCAACAGCTTTTATTAAAGAATTTAGCGAGTTTAAGTGTTAATGCGGTAGCTCTTATGTGGGAGAGACTCGCAGGCCCATACATAAAAGGTAATCTAACACAAAACGCCCTGCAAGGATTTTCGGGTTCAAAAATCGGAATCGGGCGAACACATGACTCGCGTAGGACACCAGATAGACTGGTCTAAGGCCAAACGTTGAGCTGGATATGGAGGCTATATCAGTAAGCGAAAGTCTAGGGAAGCGATAGAAATCAACAAAACAGCCAACACACTGAATAACAAGAATGAGTGTAGGAAGTTAAGTGGAAACTACCTGTTGCTGTTAGACAGGATTAGAGAGAGGGGAGAACAAAAAGTACCACAGTGCAAGATTAGGAGGCTTAATCAGGCTCAAATCTGGATTTAACTCAGATCTCACGCATTTCAAGAAAAATGCATTCCTACAACTCGCGTGTAATAGAACGCAGTCACATGCGGTTACATTGCAGGATCAAAGGTATACATGTTTTAGGGGAGGAATACAGCTGTCCGGTCGCAATTGCATCCGTTTCGAGCTTCATCTGCAGCCACTCAACTTAACCTCTCAACGAATACTTAGGCAAAGCATATGATATCCAACCAAAACAAGAGATGCCTAAGTGGACCAAATTGGACTATAAGAAGTTGGTAAGTTTGAAGCCGGCCACCTTTTTTTAAATGTTTTGGTGAATCATAGCTAAGTATAATTTCCTTCTTTGACAATGTCCGTCACATTAAGGATGAAAGCTCAGCAAGGATTCATCGGGATCGCAGGGCGGTGCGTCGAGGAGCAATTCGCACAGATCTACAATCGAAGCTCCAAGGCAATCTCTCTACAGCTTCTAGTGAGGCCAACTTACGAATCACTTCCATTCGCCTCTTTAAACGAAATGAAAGGTACTCTAACTTCCATCTGGTAATTGATGTTATTTTTCCTCTGGATACAAGCTTTAGGGTACATCTAGGTATTCACAGGATTAATAGTATTGACAAAGAATCGATAATGATGCAAATAAATATTTGCTAAGTCTATTACTTCTTTTATAGTAGGCAATAATATAGGCGTATAAGAGGTTTTTCGAGGGATTCGTTTTAGGCTTCTTTATCGGCCAATAGCTACAGTTCAAGATTATCAAAAAGCATCGCTAATACTAGAATATTTGGTTAAATACATGGATATTTGTCAGTTTTGGCATATCAAATTTATCTGATTAAACTTTTAAATGCTCATTAGGATAGTTGATAGTAGCAAGCCGTACATAAAACTAGACTGATACAACTAGCTTTCCTTTTTGAGTTTCAGGATACTTTGATAGTAGACCATCGTGCAAACAACATGCAAGGACCCAGACCCAGGAAGACATGCTTATATTACATTTAATCTCCAATCATAGTTTTATCAGTAAAGAAGGTAATATTAATTCATGTAAATTTAGGAGCCCATGTTAAGAGACAGGCCTTAAAATTGATTAATGCATTGTAGTGCAAAAATTTTAATCCAAAATAAAGTAAAATGAATGAAATTGGAGACATGAAACAAGCCTCCAGAATGTATGTCGACGCTAGCAGAGACTTGGATATATTTTCTCTCAAGATCTGCATTCTACAATCGTACGGAAATATTATAAAAAGTAGGGATATAGGCAGTCCTTGTAGAACCATTAAATGTTTCCGGCAGGATGAAATCTGCAAAGAAAAGTTGTGTTTCGAGAAATCTCTTGTTTTATAATAGTTAAGCTTACTTCTATTTCGAGTGAAAGTGCTTGGTGAAGAGAGTCGAAGGACGATTCCATCAGAAGACGACGGCGCATTCCTCTTGACCAGCTGTCGATTGGCTTTACTGGGACATCCATGCTGACGATGTTTCTGAGATAATCTCGTCCGAAAAGGTGCTAAGCTTTCGTCTGTGATCTGACGAACATCATCATAGCAAGGTATCGTCCTTGCAACCAAATTCAAGCTAACGAGTCAAGAAAACCCACCGACAATTCCATAAAAAGCTGTATATATACTATATATCTGGACTCATTGATCAGGTATAAAGTGATTTGGTTGGTTACGGTCATATGTCAACCTTGAAGCCTGTGAGTTTGTCTGTCTATGAATGTGTATGTGCCTGTTTGTGTTCGCTTATGCACGAAACGAGCAGTGATGGTCCAAAGTAATTAGGACAGCAAAAGTAACGTCTGTTCTCGGCTATCACGTTTTTATGACTACTCCCTCCTTTTTTCTATATACATGCTATAACCATTACTCCGATGGTGCAAGGTCAGACAAAGGTCTCGTTTTTTTGATGAACCTATTTTTTGGTCTCAATGCGAGAGAGAAATGATGGGCTAAAAGTACAAAGAAGTGACTATGATTAGAACCAATACAATAAAAAATTAGTTGCGTTGCCTCCTTTCTGCAGGCGGCTCAGCTTTCTTTATATCCTTGAGTCTATTAAGTAAGCACAAGCAATTTTTATTTATCTCAAGAAATATTATTTTAAGCCGATTCAGTTCATTGTCACAATGGTCTCTATCGGCTAATCTTATGCTCCGAATAATCATAGATTTTAAAACTCCAACCTATGTTTTGTAACTATGATTGGAGAAGAAGTTTAGGAAAAAGCCAGCATGTGTTGGCATTCTATACACAACCCTGCTTAACTTCTCAACTGCTCGGATCACTAAAACATCTAAAAAAGGTTAATTATTGTCCCTCTTCATCTCCATTGTCAACTTAATATTGCAATCAATCTGGTTAATTAAAAACAAGAAATTATCTTAACTATCCTTGCCATGCCGCCATATGGCAAAGTAGTCATCCATATATCTAACTAAATGTTTGGGTGTCAATCTTACCTATTCCATGAAGTGTTCCTACATTCTTGACATGTAATTATTAGCTAAAATGGGAGCCAATCAAGATCTCATTGCTAGGTCTTGCACCTGTTCATAAACATTATCATTTAAGGTAAAGTATTTGCTGTTCATGGATAGATTAAGAAGCCTTAAGAATGAGCTTTTGCTCAGATCTGCTTCCTTAATAATTTCTGGGTGCTTATCTAAGCTGACTTTTAGTGCTTTAACAGCTTTATGAACTGGGATGTTTGTATATATTGATACCAGATCAAGACTAACCAAAAGATCCTCTTCTTTAATACTTTGTTAATCTATTAATCTAGCAACTTCGTATGAATTCTTCACTGAATATTTCCAATACTCAGCCAACTTCCTTAGTTGTCTACATTAGAAACGTAAAATCCTATGCATCATAGTACCTTTGTTATTAACAATACATCTTAAAAGAACTCTTTCTTGTGTATTTTTGGAAGGCCATAAGCCTATGAAGAAGTGAATTCATTTTACACTTCTCAATTTCTCATCTTCTTACACAAAAGTTAAGCAATTCCCAAGTCCGGCCTTAAGACTTTCAGTGGGATCCTTCACTAAAAATCTGTAAGCATCTGAGTCATTTAAATGAACCATGATACCTTGCTCTGATGATGTTCGTCATAGGACGAAAACTTAGCACCTTTTCACTTGAATCGAAGGCGATTACCTCTAAAACAGCGTCACTATGAATGTTCCAGTAAGGCCAATCGACAGCTGGTCAAGAGGAATCCGCCGTCGCCTTCTGGTGGTATCGATCCTCGAATCTCTTCACCAAACACTTTCACTTAAAATGGAAGTAAGCTCAACCAGTATAAAATCTGCCATAAGGCAGATAGCCAAATTCTTAAATAATTTTTCTAATCGATTTTTTCATCTATATGGGGGAATATACATGAGATTGACTTCCTGGGTAATAGTAAAAAGTAGTTTCGTTCGTGAGATATTTTTAACTTGTCTGCGGATTCATAAATATGGAATTTAAAAGCATAATGTATGAAACGGCTATGAGAAAGAGTGAACTCGTAGTCTATGCTTTGCAATTTAGTAATAAAAGACAAGACTAAACAATTGTTTAAAATAAATAAGATAATAATGACGATAAAAATGGGATTTGAAAGCAGCAAAGAAGATGGAAACAATATATATATATATATTAGATACGACTTAGAAGAAGAAATTGAGGGAAACGTCGAACCCAAGTTCGAGGTTTTCATTATACTTTAAATATTTAAATGTATCTACTCCTTCATAAATCAAGTTACTTTATTCTAAATATTGTCCATCAGATAAAATACAATAGCTTCTAATAATGACTTTCAATGGAAGTAATTCATCCTCATATAAGTTCATACAAGAAGAAAGCTTATCAAGGCTCCTCCAAGGATGGAGGGCTGGTACGATCTCAAAGAGAAAATACCAAAACAAAATCAGAGGTCTAACAAACACCCTGATCGACTATTCAACGAATACCTACTCGGAATATTGTATACAGCCATTTATAACTAAAAAGTGCATTTTAAACTGGTATTGCCTTAAGGTTCAGAAGTACTGTGAGCATTGTGGTCTTGATATAAAAATGTGTCATTTTTGCTCTCACAGTAGCATTGAATACTGCTTGGGGAGCTGAGAGAAGAAGGCTGAAAGTTTTTTAACCATAGAATCCGAAAGCCTTTTTAAGGATAAGATAAGATGTTTTTCATGAGAAAGCTCAAAGCTTCATTTCATTTTGCTGTGGCTACCACAAATTTCGGGCTTTCCGGCAAAAAAGAATATATGCTGTGCACTGAAATAAAAAATTGACAAATGAGATTGATTTTGATTTTGAGGATACAAGAAGGAAAACGGAAAAAGACGGATGAATTTTCGTCTATGCTTGTTTCAGACGTTCCACCTTCTCATGATAAATATGCTGTATGATGATCTGGCTGGTTCCCAAACCTCAAAGCTAACTTTAACTATAATAATTCAATAAGCTTATAGCAAGGAGCTTTTGAGATGTTTATGTCTATTTGACTTCTGATATTGAGAAAGACTAGTAAGCTTGCATTTTGCGTTTTATTAGGAATTAAGTTTCTATCGAAGCAACATTTTGAAAATAGAATGCCTTCGTCTCAACAAAACTAGTGTAGATTTTAACATTTTTTAGCCTAGGAATCGTATTATCAAGCGAAGATTTTGGTGATGGGTAATGCGTATAAAGAGGTTGGTTAGAAATACTTGCTTAGTAAACAAATATTGTTGGAAATTTCACTTCATATCAAAATTTAGTTAAAAAGGATTGCTTAATTGGTTTAAGAATTATAATCGACTTGAAGTTATGACTATTGAGTTGGCCAAAATAGTGACTCCGATGAATTCGTTCTCAACTTGCGTCTCCACTACTAGTAGAGTAATTGTCAGATCGAGAAAGAAATTTTAAACATTATTTCACAAAATATTTTGGGGCAAGAATATTGAGCAGTTGCAATTCTACTTACGTCTTATATACCAAGTTTGCCAACTAACTTAGGCATCCCATGAGTCAAAATGATACTTTATTCTTCCATCTACATTTATGCGGATGAGTAACGTTGATGCATTGAGTAGAAACGTAAGTAGCCAAATCTCCTTTATTTTAATTCTGGGATAATGATTCGTGTTTTGGGGTGTTTTAGGCTTGTAATATTCATGAGTCGAATGGGATGCTAGAACAATGACTAAACTTTGTGCTAAACAAACCTCCTATCTTATTCGGTGGTTCGCCATGCGTCCTCTCATTAGTTGTATTTAGCAACGAGAGTAAGTTCATATTCAGTATCCTGCTCTCATTTCCCAACAAAAAGGATTAACTCTGGGAGTGATAAACGACTAAAGCAATTGCCACTTTATTTTACAGTTTTAGGTAAGGGATTATGATGGAAAATACCTGCAGGAAGTTAAGTAAAAACATTTTGTACTTAGTTAATAGACTCGAGAGTAGAGATGGTGTTGAGCCGCCTACAAAAAGGAGGTGACTCAATTAGTCTTTTCCTGTATTGTCTTGGTTCTAGCTCCGGTCACTTTTCTGTACATATTAGCCCACTCTTCTTTCTCTCACATGAATACAAAAAGCTCATCAACATAAAGAATCGGAGTGATAGTTAAAATATAAGAAGAGAGGAGGTGATGCTAGTCACAACGCCCTGATTGCCGAGAACAGACGCTACTTTTGCTAAGAAAAGTTGGGTTTCGAAGAATCTCCTGTCTCATAATTGTTGAGCTTACTTCCATTTTGAGTGAAAATGTTTGGTGAAGAGATTAGAAGGTCGATTCCACCAGCCTTCTTGACTCGTTAGCTTGAATTTTGTTGTGAAGATGATAACTTGTTCTGATGATGTTCGTCATATGACGAACGAAAGCTTAGCCCCTTTGCCCCGGAATCGAAGGAGATTACCTCGGAAACAGCGTCAGCATGAATTTTCCATTAAAGCCAATTTACAACTGGTCAAGAGGAATTTGCCGTCGTTTTCTGGGGGAACTGACCTTCAAATCTCTTCACCCAACACTTTCACTCGAAATGGAAGTAAGCTTAACCGTTACTTTTGCTGTTCTAGCTACTTTGAGTCATCACTAGTGGTTTCTTATACATGCTAGCACATTCAGGCACAAATACATACAGAGATATACATTCACATACTCCGAGGTTGACATATGACTGGAACTAACCAAATCACTTTATACCTGATCAGAGAGGCCAGATATACAATATACATATCGCATTTTAGGGAAGAGCCGGTGGGTTTTTTTGACTCGTTAGCTTGAATATAGTTGTAAGGATGATACACTGCGCTAATGATATTCGTCATAAGATGGACGAAAACTTAGAACGTTTTTACCCGGATCGTAGAAGATTACCTCGAAAACGGCGTCAACATGAATGTTCCATTAAAGCCAGTTGATAGCTGATCAAGAGGAATCCGCCGTCGTCTTCTGATAGTTAGGCCTTCGAATCTCTT